CTGTCATGTTATTAAACGTAATAGGTGCACTGTTTCCCCGTCAATACCGTACCTTTAATAAACTGTCATGTTTATTAAACGTACTAAGTGCACATTTTCTTTGTCAGTACCTTTCCTTTAATAAATTATCGTGTTTATTAAACTTACTAAGTGCACTGTTTTTCTCTGTTAATGTTTTCTTTAAATAAACTGTCATGTTTCGTAAATGTAATAAGTGCACTTTTTTCTGTAAAGCTTCGCAGACTGTGGTTCTCCACTGTGGTGATGGCCAGGGAATATTTGGTCACTACATTCATATTGAAGACAACAGACCGGATTTTACTTACTTTGCTTTGTGCCAGGTGGATGTTATCGTACTTAAAGGTGAGTTCCACCGAGTTATAACTGCTTTTTTTTTAATTCTTTTCCTTAGTGTACTGAAACCTTTATAGCGCTTTAGAATTTTTCGCAACTTGTTCCTTGAAACTGAGCACTACAATATATTTTAAGGGGTGTCTATATAATCAATCAACTTATCGATAAAACAGTCTAATTTAAATGAGCTTGTTGCCCACTCCCAAGATTTTATAAACCTCTATATTATAATGCCACGATAAAAGTTAATAAATAGTTATTTTTTATTAGAGTTATGTTTAATCAGTTAATGTTAAGGAGTCATTTCAGTATAAATTATTTCTTCGTCCTATTTTTCGTGTTATGAACAACCCTCTGTCTATGTATATGTACATTTATCTGTCTCTCTCTCTATATATATATATAGGTGTTTGTGTGTGTGTGTGTATTTATAGTACAAGTAGTAATAAACAAACAAATTATGAGTTTAACAACATCATGTGTAAGTTGGCGAGAGATATTACTGTCGCCACACGTGTAAGACAGACAGATAAAATTAGGATACATCCTGGGAATTATGCAATGATCTTTGTGGGAGAGGTATCAGCGGGAGTAGAACCCACGTAGCGTAGAGAATTTAACCTATATACACAATCCTCACGTGCAAAATGAAAGTATAAAACCAGTTGAAAATTAGGAATGGGTTTAGATGTTGTATTCCACAGCATGCCACTTTTACACCTCCATTATCCATCTATGGGAAGGCGATAGCATCTAATGGAACAGAATGGAATAAAAAGAACAATAATTAATACATTATAACAGATAATTTAAGAGGGCCATGGATACTTATTATCTAACAAGACATTGAGGGTGATGAATATAATGTATCTTCATAAATTAATGCCCAAGCCTCCGTCCAACCATATACATCCTTGTTTCAGTAGTATACATAAATAACCCTGCTTTCTTTATTACTAGCATATTTATTACGCGTACTCTGTAAGTTTTAACACGCACTGCCTAACATCCTCATGCTAAGGTGCGCGTGAATGACGTGAACAATACACGAGATGAACGATGGATTCTTTAATAAGTATACTCAATCATTGTTTATTGCAACGAAGTTTAAGAGTATTACTTAAAACCCTACTAATATTATTATTTTGAAATATCAGTAAATCGTTGTTTTTCAATACTTACGATATTAAAATGCACAATAAATAACGCTTTTTTATTGAAATTTTACAATACGATTAAAAAATTACATTATAAAGAACATGGTTTATACAGAGTAAATACAAAGCCAGTCATAAGAAATACAAAACATTTTACTGTAAAAACCTGCATTGTAGTTAAGCACAAAGTCACATAATGCGCTATCTGTACCCTGCCTGCTACGGGTATCGAAACCCGGTTTCTAGCATTGTAAATCCGCAGACATATCGCTGTGCCACTGAGGGTCCATTTTACTGTAAAAACCTGCATTGTAGTTAAGCAACAAATTGCAAATTTCTGTACAAAGGATTGTTACTACAGGTGAAGGAAGTCAATGAACATGGAAAGAAAGAATTGATGTTTATAAAATAATATTTGCACCATATCAGCCAATTTTTATGTCTAAGTCTTTAAAAAAAGAGTTTCAATATCATATGTTGTATTATTTCATTTCTAATTCAGGAGGAAGTACAACCTATTTATGCATGATTCCAAAAAAAAAATCTTTATTTTCATGATTACTAGTTGAAGTACTGTTCTTTGTACTGGAAAGACCCAAGGATCCCCGGGTGATGACACTGACCCTCTTTTGTCACTTCCCAGAGGCCCTTAAGGATACATACCAAGTTTGGTGATAATCGGTCCAGCAGTTCGCCAATTATAAGCAGGCACACACACACACACATACTGTTGTCAAATAATGGTTTAGATTTAAATACCATAACTATTAGTACCTTGAAAGATATAGTATCGTGTGATACAAGACCAAGTACCCTTTAATGCTGTCATGAATCAGCAGGATAAGATTATTGTATTAAGGTCTCATTTCCCTAGATCATGGTTTCCCAAATCTTTGCTTAAGACAGCCAGATGGATAGTTTGTTGTTCACTCTTCCACCCGTACACTCTGAAAATTATTTTGATACCCCTCCCATGCAGTGGCATTACTACAAAGGATGGACCCCCAGCATAAAAAGTAATTGGGCCCCAACATTTATTTCCCCATAATTATAGTTAAAATTCTGGCTGATTCGCTCGCCCTTTTTGGCTTGCTTCCCCCTCGCAATTGCGGGGGCTTCAGGGAGCATACTTACACCACTGCTCCTATGGACCCATTCAACCATATTTTATAGGGTTTTCGACTGAACAATTTGTATGAAGTGACCAACTAAATTCTGGAAGTTTATTTGGCAGTATCCCGGCTGGAATTGTCCAGCAGTTACATAGTAGTAACAGATGTAGACCAAATAGGTACTTTTATTCCATATTTAATAGTAAATAGCATTTTAGGTTGTAATTCTTAAGCAGATACAGAAATAAGTGTGACTGACCTGATCTTTGCTTTCACCAATTAATATTCCAAATATTTAATTATTTCATTGATTTGATTTTCCACCTCATTAATATTGGTGTTATAATATTTCTCCACTTCATAGATGTATTTTTGTACTTCTTCAATTTTATCATTATATTCCCTCTGTGATTCGTTGATAATTTTGTTTTTGTAATCCCTCTGTACATCTCAATAGCTTCATCGATCTTGCCTTAAATGATATAAATTTTTCTTCTCAGTTCTTCTTTAAATATTACATCTCTTTAATGTAATTCTTCTTTTAAACTTCTGTCTCTCTTCATCATCTCTAACAAAGTGTTGATCTCGCATCGTGTTCATGTTCGCATCTTAAAGTTTACACAAAGTTCTATTTTAGTTTCACAATAATAAGTCTCACTCTTGAATTCCGATACGGGTTTGTGACGTTGTTCTATCATTGGATTTGTTCTCTAGGATTATTTGGTAAAAATAATGCCAAGACCAGTCTACATAACAATAACAACTTAATTCATTTTTCTATAACGTTTATTACAGGTCACCTTCACATATAGGCCTAACTTCACAAACAACGTTTTAACAGGAAGTTCAAAACTAATGTACGCCTAATTTACAAATAAATTTACTTACAAGAGTCCTCGCTAATTGATCAAAACCAGACACGCTGGAAAACTCAATGAATTACAGTAGAATAGACGCAATAACTGTCGCTGACTCTCTAACTGACACTTACCTGAATTACTCATTTAGAATGCTGAATAATTCACTGAGTCTAATATATATCTCTCGCTTTCTACTTCCTGCATGAAATCTCTAGATCATTACGTCATCACCATGATTAGCTCCCTCTAGCAAACAAACATATAAATTAGAATATTAAAAATACAACTATGATAATTTTTTGAGGCTTCGTCAACCCAAAATTTCGTTTTCTGGTGCGAGTTTTCTACGGTAATATTCTCAAAATTGAGCTTACTGTAATACGTTTCTCTCGCTTTAATTGCCCGTTTTCAGTTTTTAACCTTACTAGACTTTTTTTTTTTCAAACTTTCGATGACTATGATAATCTTTTGAATTTCATCTAGCCATGATGGTGTTTTTACATTTTATAATTTAGTCATCCTCACGATTTTATAACTGTCAACTAAAGCAAAAAGCAGCATGTTGGTACATTTAACACATAAAGAATATATAGTGGCTGCAATTGAAGAGTTCCAGAACTTAAAGGTGCTTTGAAATGTCAAACTATTTTAGTTAACTATTTCTAAAAGATAAAGAATTGATAAGAAATGAGTTTTTTTTTTTGTTGTTCTTGTTTTTTGTCAGAACGGTATGCATGCGGTGAACCCGACCACCCAACTCAAGCCTATACAACGAGGGAGCATAACACAGTAGAATACCACTGTGTGTCTGGTTACAGGTTGAAAGGAAACCCCAGGCGTCGCTGTCTTCGCTCTGGACAGTGGGATGGTTTACAGCGGACCTGTATAGGTTAGCATTACAAAGATACCTCTTTTCACGTGCACAGTAATGGATTTTAAGCAGCAAATTACCATATTCACAATAATATTTAAATAAGATATTATTTTTTACTTCAAATAACGCTTGATATCAAAACTGTAATCGTTTTTTAAGATGTGTTTTTGTACTAAATGTCATAACAAAAGCAAAAAAAAAATGAATTTAGTGTTGTATTTTCGAAAATGCATTCTTCTTCTTTTTCCGTATAACAGATGAAATGCTGTCGCTTCATCTAGATTTCTAAACGAAATATCAATATCAGTGACTACATTTTTCAATACTTTATAGAGGTCACCTGTCGGCGACTGGATGAAGTACAAAATGGAAGAGTAAGAATGAATGGACTTCGACGAAACCGCCCTGTTCAGGGCAGTAACGCTTTTTACTCTTGCGAAGGCGGGTACGTTCTCCATGGCAATGCTACACGGGAGTGCAAAGAAGATGGAAGTTGGAGTGGTGGAGACTCTTCGTGTTATCGTAAGAATAGCAATAATTAAAATATTGCCAGGTACTCAGTGGCTCCTTAAAGTTCAAGATTGCAGTTATGATACCAAACGTCGTCCTTTTTTTATTTAATCATTTTAAGGTGTTAAACGACGTCTAACACAATTAAAACCTATAACAAGAAATGTTTTGTTAATATTCAGTAAACAGTTGTAGTGTAAACGTATATATAGTGAGTCATACATCTTTTTTACTGTCGTTGGCTATAAGGAGCTAACCCTTTACAGATTCATGGATTTACTTTTCGTAACAGGCTACAAACTAGTGAATTAATCACATGGGCTTAAGATTAACAACGGAATATTGGATTAGATTTCAGAAAATCTATGTTGACACTCCCCAAGTCAATACACTTGTTACGCCACAAAAGTGCTGACATTTTATGACCTTACAAGTTATGGAATAACATTTGAACCACAGTTCATAAAAGAGAGACGAGCAGTGTTGAATTCAGGGGGTGATGTACAGGGGGTATTTCCCATCATGTCGAATTTTAATTTCAATTCATCCCCCCCCCCCAGCTTCTCGTTCACTCCCCTCCGGTGGAAAGGTCTGTATTCAACACTGGATACGAGCTTAGTAAACATAATTGTAACGTGAGTTACCTTAGACATTACAAATGAAATAAACAAAACATGTTAAGACACGTAGTAATTAGCATAATGAATTTAAAATATTTGAATTAACATGTCTAGATCTAATAAAACTTGTGAGAACTTTCGTTTGATGGTTACTTGAACTCCGTGAAGTTATTGGATGTTGATTCACGAATCTTTCCCAGCCTTCGAAGCATAGAAAGTAAAATAATTTAGTGTTAACAGAATAATTACATTAAAATAAAGCGTCACACTTCAACTTTTAGGATTGCTTAATCTTCAATCTAATGACCTTTTTTTTGTTTGTGTGTTAATACATTTTCTTAAAGTCTCGTCGTTGAAAATAAAATATAACATTTAATAGCAAAAATTAATAAAAATATTCAAACTGATTCAATTCTAGGCTAGGTGATGGTAGTGTCTACGCACAAATTTAGAGCTTATAGCCGGAGAAACTGACCAGAATTTGATATTTTTGAATGAATGTGTAACATGGATTGCTTTTAATATCTACACTTCACCCTAAAATGGGGCTTTGTTGTTGTTGTTGTTGTTTTATTTTTAGCTATTAATTGTGGATTTCCACGACACCAAACTGTGGGAGGGAAATACTACCTTCTCAACGAGACCACAACCTACCAAAGCATGGCAAAGTTAGAATGTCTAGATGAACATAAAGCCTTTGGCCCTTCATCTCTCATCACATGTCGAGAAGACGGAACATGGAGTGGATCACAAGCTAGTTGTGTTAGTGAAGGTACGTATTAGTTGTTTAATTTTAAATTTACTGACATTTCTAGATCATGTCAAAGAAACAATGCTTCTATTATCGACCTGTTGTAAATGTTATGCTATAATCTTTAAAAATAATGTATTATCTCTATAAAGTGCATTTTAATATTCTTTCTATACCTAATTGTACGACAACTGAAGATACTATAAAATATTATACTTTAATAAAGAACAATAAGGTTTAACCGTGATGAGTTTTGTTCTTCCATACTCCATTGTTGTTTTTATAATAAAAAACATATTAATTTTCAATACTCATATAGACCAAATTTTAAGATAATCTAATAGCAAAGATGTATGTATTTGAAAGTTTACTCTTAATCCTTTAAAGACGATTGCATAGAATTTGAGGTATAATTTCTGAGATTATTAGTATATGATGTTTAAAAAGCAACTTTATAAAGATACATTAACTGTAGTAAACTCTTCTCATCCATGATGTATCGGGTTATTCTAATAACTTTGAAAATTCACATTTTTCTTCCAAGGCGACGGAGGGGAATGAAAGAGATGCATGTTTTTATTTGAATATAATATTTGCAAGAAAAAATATTAACCACCTGTTTTCTGCTGTTATTAATAGGATAAAAGGAATCATAGCAGTCAGCAGTTCTGTTCTAGGGGGGCCCATTGACTGCTCTGCTCTTGAGCCCGGAATTTTTGTCTTTCTACAAGATACCCTCTTTTACCGATATTAATATAAATGGGTATTGAAGCTCAACGGTCTTTTTAATAACACCTAAAATTTCCTGTGTATCTCTAGGGTTTTATATGTGTTCTTGGACTGCAGTTATCCCGAAATATTGTAAATCATTGTATGTATTAGTATCTTTTGTCAGCTTTTTCTCGATATGATGATTTTTTTCTGTGTTTTAGCTTTCTGCAACTGCTTATCCAAAAAGCGAGTGAACAATGCCAGTGTGTTTAGCGCATAACGTCACATGAGCAATCCTGGTCGTATGATAAGCACAGAATATTTAACAAATCTCTAAAGTGCATACAGATTGTAAACCTTAACGAAGCACTCGGATATTTGATTTTATTTGTAAAGGCAGGAGACACATCTTAGCCATCTAACGGACAAAATCGGTGGGGAACATCAAAAGTACGCATAACAATCGCAAAATTGTTAAAACAGTGATATTTGATTTTATTTGTAAAGGCAGGAGACACATTTTAGCCATCTAACGAACATTTTAGAACGGACAAAATCGGTGGGGAACATC